TTTAGATTCCACAAAAAAGTGATACCATGCAGTATTTGTTTTTCTCTGTCTGGCTTATTTCACTTAGCATAATGCCTTCTATGATCATGCATATTGCCACAAGGCTGAGAAATACTCTGCATGCGCGCGCACGTGTGTGTGTGTGCGTGTGTGTGTGTGTGTGTGTGTATCTCACATCTTCTTTATCCATTCATCTGGTCTTGGTTCTTTTTAATATGTTTTTATTGTTTTCAGAGAGGAAGGGAGGGAGAGGGAGAGAGAGATGATTGATGAGAGAGAAACATTATCAGCTGCCTCCTGATTGCCTACTACTGGGGATTGAGCCCCGCAACCTGGGCATGTGCCCTTGACTAGAATCGAACTCGGGACCCTTCAATCCACAGCTGACGCTCTATCTAACTGTGCTAAACCAGCTAGGGCTCCATTCATCTGTTGATGGACACTTAGATTGTTGTATATCTTGGCTACTATGGACAATATGAACATGGAAGTACAAATCCCTCTCCAAGATAATGATTTTGTTTCCTTTGGATATATACCCAGAAGTGGAATTGCTAGATCATATATGGTAGTTCAATTTTTAATTTCTTAAGGATGCCTTTCTCTCTTGCTTTCTCTCGCTCTGTCTCGCTCTGTCTCACTCTCCATCTCTCTCCATCTTTCTCCATCTCTCTCAAATCAGTCAGCATTCCATTGTGTATGTGTACCACCGTTTTTTAATCCACTCATCTGATAGGCACTTAGGCTGTTTACAAATCTTAGCTATTATAAATTGTGCTGCTGTGAACATAGGGGTGCATATATCCTATCTGATTGGTGTTTCTGATTTCTTGGGATATATTCCAAGAAGTGGGATTACTGGGTCAAATGGGGGTTCCATTTTTAATTTTTTGAGGAAATACCATGCTGTTTTCCATAGTGGCTGCACCAGTCTGCATTCCCACGAGCAGTACATGAGGATTCCTTTTTCTACGCATCCTTATCAGCACTTGTTGTTTGTTGATTTGTTGATAGCCATTCTGACAGGTGTGAGATGGTACCTCATTGTTGTTTTGATTTGTATCTCTCAGATGATTAGTGACTTTGAGCATCCTATCTAATAAAGACATAATATGCAAATTGACTGTCACTTTGCAACAAAGATGGTGGCGCCCATAAGCACAAGATGGCGGCGCCCAGTCCCCTCGCACCACCAGAGTCCCTCAGTCCTTTAAGCCCCCTCCACGGGGGCAAGGGGCAAGCAGCACCCCAGTCCCCCGCAGCAAGCAGACAGCAGGGCACTGCTTGGCCCTCACCGTAGCGCCAAGGGGCAAGCAGCGTCCCAGTCCCCTGTGGCGAGCACACAGCAGTGCCCCAGTCCCCCGGGGCGAGCACACAGCAGGGCTCTGCTTGCCCCTCACCACAGAGCCAAGGGCCAAGCAGGCCCCCGCAGAGAGCAGACTGCAAGGCCTGCGGTGGCGTCGAGCAGGCAGGTCCGCAGAGAGCAGAGAACCATGGGGAGTGGGCCTAAGCCGTCAGTAGGACATCCCCTGAGGGCTCCCAGGTTGGAGAGGGTGCAGGTCAGGCTAAGGGACCTCCCAACCCCGTGTACAAATTTCGTGCACCAGGCCTCTAGTGTTTTCATATGTCCCTTGGCCTTCTGTATATGTCCACTTTCAAAAAGTGTCTATTTAGGTCCTTTGCCCATTTTTCAATTGTATTGTTTATCTTCCTTTTGTTAAATTGTATAAGTGCCCTATGAATTTTGGAGATTAAACTCCTGTTGGATGTAACATTGTCAAATATGTTCTCCTATTCAGTGGGCTCTCTTGTTTTGTTGATGGTTTCTTTTGCTCTGTAGAAGCTTTTTATTTTGTTGTAGTCCCATTTGTTTTCTCTTTAGTTTCCATTGTCTTAGGAGATGCATCGGTAAAAGTAATGCTACAAGATATGTCTCATATTTTGCTGCCTATGGATTCTTCTAAGGTTTTTATGGTTTCCTATTTTACGCTTAAGTCCTCTTATCCATTTTGAGTTTATTTTTGTGTATGGTGTAAGTTGATGGTTTAGTTTCATTTTTTTGCATGTATCTATCCAATTTTCCCAGCACCATTTATTGAAGAGACTGTCTTGACTCTATTGTATGCTCTTGTCTCCTTTGTCAAATATTAATTGAGCATAATGACGTTGGTTGATTTCTGGGTTCTCTGTTCTGTTCCATTGGTCTATATGTCTTTCTTGTGCCAGTACCAGGCTGTTTTGAGAAAAATGGCTTTGTAATATAGCTAGATATCTGGTATTGTGATTCCTCCAACTTTGTTGTTCTTTCTCAGGATTGCTGTGGCTATTCAGGGTCTTTTTTTATTCCATATAAATTTTTGGAGAGTTTGTTCTAGGTCTGTGAAATAGGCCGTTGGTATTTTAATAGGGATTGAATTGAATCTATAGATTGCTTTGAGTAGTATGGACATTTTAATGATGTTGATTCTATCAATCCATGAATACGGTATATCCTTCCACTTGTTTAGATCTTTATCTCTTTTTTCAACATCCTGTAGTTTTCTGAGTACATGTCTTTTACCTCCTTAGTTAAGTTTATTCCTAGGTATCTTTTTTTTTTTTGTTGCAGTGAAGCACAGTACTTCTTAACCATCTTGTTTCTGAAAGGTTAAATTAGGTGCTGCATAGGCAGGCTAAATAGCCATCTCAGACGGTGACTGAAATAAATGAATTTGTTTAAGGAAAAGGAAATGGAAGATGGGGATATCCAAAGGCAAGGGCTACACAGGTTCGGGGGGGTTAGCCCAGGAAAGTTGCCTGCTGCCCATTGCTCCCCTGGTTGCAAGTCTCTTGGGGTTCCTTAGAGATTGGGTGATACATACCTGTGGGGGACTGACACAGGTGTGCTCCTTGGAAGGAGAATGCATACTGGGTTTTTTGTCCTGAGCCTATTTATCTCTATTACAGGTGGAAATCTTAGGGGAAGTCTCAGGGGAGTCTTAATAGAATAGTCATCAGCTTTCCAGGTGTGCTCTTTCACCTGGAAGGTCCTGGTCTCCAGGGATTCGTCAGTGCCAAGGGGTCATTACTCAATGTAGCTGGTCCTGAGGCAGCCATGGTGCCATTTCTCTGTTTTTGCTGCTTTTCTGGGCCTGGAGCTGAAATACAGCTGAGGCCTAGATGTTATCTTTAGGGAGGAAAAGGTCAGTGGGGTCTAAACCACCTGACCAGCAATATCAAAGATCACAGGTCCAAACCACATGCTAGGGAAGGATAGGTTACCCTGCGGGGAGGTTCTTGTTTTGCCCCTTGCTAGGCATCCAGAGCTTTCTACCCTGGTGACTTTGTGTACCTGGCCCATCATCCTTGCTCTGGGGCTAACAGTTTCCTTATCCAAGCTCATAGAGCATGAGACTAACTTTTCATGTTCCTGGCAGTGCTTTCGTGCTTCTCATATCTCTCTCCCATTTGCCAGGATATTATTTCAAACTCCTCATGCCTCCTTAACTCTTTCTGTTCCAATTATTTATTGCTGTGTAATAAGCCACCTAGGAGTTAGTGGTGTAACACAGTGATCATTTTATTATGCTCACAGATTCTGTGTCAGGAATTCATATGGGGCATGTTGCTGTTCCAGTGTCTGGGGCCTCAGCTGGAAGACTCAGGTGACTGGAGGAGATGTGAATGTCTAGGAACTGGAATCCTCTGGAGGTTTCTTCATTCACTCACGTATCTGCCTCCTGGCCTGTGATGACTTGAAAGCTGGGCTCAGCTGGGATTGTTGACTGAACCTCTTACATGTGGTCTCCATGTGCTTGGGGCTCCTCACATCAAGGCCATTGGGTTCCAAGAGTGGGTGTCTGGAGACCCAGCATTCCAAGAAGTTGAAGCAGGAGCTGCATGGCCTTTTCTGACCTGTTATAAACACTGAAGGGAAATTTTCCATTAAATTAGATATATGTATTTTGCAGTGTCTTGTATAGTCATAAGTAGAAAAAAATGGTTAAATATCATTTGTACATGGTCAGGAAGTTATAGGTTTTGCCTGATAATCTCCTTGAAGTCGTCACAAGAGCGGTGTATTGAGGTTCTTTTCCCTCACCCAACCTGTGCCTTATATTCTGTGACTTCAATACAGCATACATCATAATCTGTTCTTAATATTAATGCTTCTGGTTCATATAAATAGTTCCTTGACCAAAAAACACTCACACACACACAAAAAAAACTTTGAGAAAAGGAAATGCTTTGGGAATTAAATCTGCAATTATACCATTCTTATTGTTATTAATGTATATTTTTGCATCGTCTTATAAAATTAATTTGTGTAAATTAATGCATTTAGCTGCAATAGAATTTTATTTGTTTTTTGAATTTGTATGCTTCCCAGTTTGTTACATAAATTAAAAATTAGTTTATATAACCTGTAATGAGATTACTTAATATGATTGTTGTTCTGTTGTCAAGTTTTCTAATGTATGCTTTCCCTCCCCCCCCCCCCCCTTTCAACGGGAAAAAAAAAGGGGGATCAAAAAAAAAGGGTGGAGGGGGGTTTTTTTTTTTTTTTTTAGTAAAAATAATTTGCAAACTTGTCAGTCTTGGCCAAAATAATAATAAAGTTATCTATATTTTAGTGTGGCAATTTTTTTTCATGTGATCTTTAAAATAAAATCAATTTTTAAAATGGTTTTTAAGAAAAAAATTGTAATCATACTTATAAATATATAAGGGAATTTCTGAAATACCATAAGACACGTTTTAAAGTCTTTGCTTAGGCTTTTAGAAAGATTATTAAATATTTAGTAACCTAACTAATTACTTTATTTAAAGTAAATGATTACTTTCTTGCATTTAGTCACAGCTCTGGCTACTAGTTTTTGATCTGTAGCAAATCATTTAATTTCTGGGTGTGGTTTCCTCGTGAAATAATAAGGGAAGATGAAAACTGGTTTAGCAAGCTTCCTTTTAGAACTGAAATTCTGTGTTTTTATATGAGTTTATCATCCATATGATAAATGTAGCATTCTATTTAGACCCCTCTTTTTCCTGTAGTCCTCCTCATGGAGAAGCAAAAGCTGGATCAAGCACCCTTCCACCAGTGAAATCAAAGGCAAATTTTATTGAAGCAGACAAGTACTTTTTACCCTTTGAATTGGCCTGCCAGTCCAGATGTCCCCGCATAGTTAATACATCTCTAGATTGTTTACAGGTATGTATAAAATGGCTTTAGGTGAAAACCATCCAACTGGAATGTGTTTCTGAACATTACTCACAATTGATAATTCAGACATTTTCCATGATAGCTTTTAATATGCTTCTTGGTAACAAACCAAGTGGTTGCTTATATTCAAGAGAGACAATAATAGTTGCAAAATGTTTTTAGTTTAAGGTTAACAAAAATCATTAGTTTAGTTAGAATCACAGAATCTTTACTAAGGTTATCAATAATGAAAGTGTTGATTTGGTTTGTTTTTCCATCAGTGAAATACAAGAACCATAGTTTAAACCTGCCACTGATGTTACATGCATCATTATTTGCAAATGGTTTTACTAAATGCCTGCTAATTTATATAAGACAATAGGTTAACATTGACAGCTTAGTATTTATATTTTCTGTTGGACTTTAGCTCTGACCTTTATTTATGTCAGGAAGATTTCTTAAATCTTTTATTCTGTTTTACTTATGTGGATTCCCTTACATATTTGTAAGACAAACCTCCAGAGTTAGAGGTCCCACTCTTTTCAGGTGTTTTCACTGTTGGTTCATTTTACCTATTTATACCTATTTGACAGTTCAGTCACGTGGAAAAGACAATATTCTTTTGATTTGTTTTTAATGTTAGGTTAAGGATAAGTTTATTTGATTTGTCACCTTGTTTTTCTTGAAAAATTAAAACTATAATATCTGAGGCCTTTCTTCAAGGGCTATACTGATAATGTTGAATTAACAAATCAGTGATTTATTGTAGCCAATGTATGGAAATTCGGTTTTCTTCTTAATCACAGATCTAATTTGGAAAGAGATTTTGGGTTATTAAATGAGTGAAGATAGCTTTCACAAAAGCAGTATTAATACTATTTAGATAGAAAGCATTAAGCTATTCTAATTCATCAGAGACAACTATTTCTAAGGCCTGGCTTTCTCAAAATTTCACCTGATGGTTTTGTTGTGGTTATTGTTCTGTTTCCATGGTAATTGCAGTGTAAATAATTTCACATGTTTATAGCTAATAAAGCTTTCTTTTTCTTTTTTTAATATATTTTTTATTGATTTCAGAGAGGAAGGAAGAGGAAGAGATAGATAGAAACATCAGCAATGAGAGAGAATCATTGATTGGCTGCCTCCTGCATGCCCCCTACTGGGAATTGAGACTGCAACCCAGGCATATGCCCTTGACCTGTATCAAACCTGGGACCCTTTAGCTCGCAGGCCGATGCTCTATCCACAGAGCCAAACTGGCTAGGGCCTAATAAAGCTTCTTCATGAAAAGTTGGTATAGCCTTGGCTTTGACTATGCCTTAATGATTTATGTAATAATTTTAATATATATTCAATTATATATTGTAATTTTAATGTATATTTAATTAGTAGACATTAGTTAGCTTAATTAGATTCTTTATTTTCTTTCTCCATTTCAGAAGCTTATTGCTTATGGGCACTTGACTGGCAATGCTCCAGATAGTACAACACCAGGCAAAAAGTTAATTGATAGAATTATAGAAACGATTTGTGGCTGTTTCCAAGGTCCTCAAACAGATGAAGGAGTTCAGTTGCAAATAATAAAGGTAAATAATTATATAAAGTGAATTTATTATTTTCAATCTGTATTTTTAAAAAGCCTTTTTTTACCTTGGAAAATATTTAGAAAGGTCATTTTATGTGCTTTCTCAGTATAATAGAGGTTATTTGGGTGCTTTTTAGATCTGATATCGGGATTTTGTTGTTAAATGCCAAGAGTTCATTAGAAGACTATATTTTCAAATATTTTATTTCGAGGATCTCAATTTAGGCTTGGGATCCCAGCATCTTTCAGAGAGTTTCAGTTTCTGTAATGTTTACCATACATATTGCATCTTTTGAGCTTTAGGGTCCCATGTGAGGGCCCCATGACCCCTGTAGTTTCTTCTGTACTGCCTGACCCCTTGTAGTCTTCCTTCTAGACCAGTCGTGGGCAAACTACGGCCCGCGGGCCGGATTCGGCCCATTTGAAATGAATAAAACTAAAAAAAAAAAGAGACCGTACCCTTTTATGTAATGATGTTTACTTTGAATTTATATGAGTTCACACAAACACTCCATCCATGCTTTTGTTCCAGCCCTCCTGTCCAGTTTAAGAACCCATTGTGGCCCTCGAGTCAAAAAGTTTGCCCACCCCTGTCTAGACCCTGCTTCCCAGGTGGACTCCTTACGTACTAGTTTTCCTGATTCCCTTGCACCTATCCATCTGCTGAACATGCTCAGCTAAACCCTGTCCTGGGTTTATGCTATATTCCTGGCTGATGAAGCTCCTTTAAAGAAAATCACTCAGTTGTGTTTTTAGTCTCTTATAAATATTGAATTCTTTCTTCTTTTTTTCTTTTTTCTTTTTGCTTATCCTCACCTGAGGATATTTTTTTCCATTGCTTTTTCAGAGAGAGTTGGGGGGAAGAAGAGGAATGGGTGGAGAGAGAAAGGGAGAGAGAGAGACCTTGATGTGAGAGAGACTCATTGATTGGTTGCTTCCCGCACGGCCCCCGGAGAGGGAACCCACAACCCAGGTACATGCCCTTGACCGGGAATCAAACCTGAGACCCTTTGTTCTATGGGCCGACATTCTACCACTGAGCCACACTGGCCAGGGCTAAATATTCAATTCTTAATGTTACCATTAATGGTAGTGGTGGTATGTTTATATATCAATAAAATTGTCCTGTACTAATAGTACTTTTGAAATTGCTTACATGTGTAAAGTGTTCTTTCATGTGTGAATATAGTCCCTTCTGAGTCTTTCAGTTTCATAGCTGTATTTACTTCATGAGTCATATCTTTATTGTAAAAAGCTGTCCAGTCTGTTTGGTCTGTCATTTCAATTTCATGTCAGTCAGTCATGGCTTTTCTAGCATATACTCAATGCTGTTGTACAACATAAAAGGACAAAAGAACGAGTTTTGCTTTTGAGAAATTGCAAGTAAACTGATGTAAGACAATTCACATAAAGTTACTTTATTGGATGATTTACTTTAGTATTATTTTAAATTCTTTATCGTAAAACATTTTATAAATATCATCAGCAATAACAACAGCACGTTTATTGAGTCCAGTCTATAAGAAAGATCTCAGAAAAATTTTTAAGTGAATAAGATACGTTGTGTATCCTCCAAACCTGATACTCTGAATCAGCAGCTATAATAGATGAAGCACATCTGTGCTTCACGGTGACAGAGTTCTAATGTACATTTCAATAAGCTAAATTATATTGAAGTGAAACTTGGGTTGAAACAAAAAAAATTGAATGGCTTTCTAGTGTTTTGGGTTTGGGAAGATTATGTAAGAACTATTTATTGCCAGTATGAGAAAAACATAAAATATTTTAACAGTTGATGATACATTCAAAGTAGGTAGAAATTTTGTTAGTGCATATGAAAAATTCTATCAGTGTATATCTGAAGGTGATAATGGTGCCTGAAAGTTTTAATTTTAATATAAAGATACTCACATTTTTGTGCTGAAACTCAAGATGCAGAAAATTGCTTTAATTGCTTTCACTTTGTCTTTTTTTAAGGCATTACTTACTGCAGTAACATCTCAACACATAGAAATTCATGAAGGAACTGTACTGCAAGCTGTGAGAACATGTTACAATATCTATCTAGCAAGCAAAAATCTCATCAATCAGACAACAGCCAAAGCTACTCTTACTCAGATGCTAAATGTGATCTTTGCACGCATGGAAAACCAAGCAGTAAGTATTTTAAAAAGAGAGAGATTGTATGGAACACCACAAGCATCAAATGCAGAAAAGAGTTTACAGAAATGTATAATGAAATCTTTTGTGTTTGTAGGGAAGAATGACTTTCATTTATAGTCCTACTTACTGGAGATATGTGGTATTGTTTTGTTTTGAGGTTTACTGCCTTGACTTTGGATAAAATATGTTTTTAATTGTTCACAAATAGAATTTGAGTGATAGTGTTTGTCATCATCCTCATGGCAGTGTTTATGAATTGATATTTTTATTGCACTCAAGCTTAGTAAATAATGAAAGATTTCCATCTCTATTCTTGTGTACCCCCTAAGCAGTGACCACTGTTACTTGTTTTTGTTTTACTATTTTTAATGTTCTTTGTTTCTGATGGACTATAATTTGTAATCAGTGGAACATTATTCCTTCAAAATTGAAACAACATATTTTACAAATATTAGAAATTATTCTATTTCTTCCCAGTTGCAGGAAGCCAAACAAATGGAAAAAGAGAGGCACCGGCATCATCATCATCTGTTGCAGTCTCCAGTAAGCCATCATGAGCCTGAATCACCTCACCTTAGATATCTGCCACCTCAGACTGTTGATCATATATCCCAAGAACATGAAAGAGACCTTGATCCCCATACAAATGATGTGGATAAAAGCCTTCAGGATGACATAGAACCTGAAAATGGATCTGATATTTCCAGTGCAGAAAATGAACAGACTGAAGCTGATCAGGCAACTGCAGCTGAAAGTAATCTTTTTAAGAAGGGGTTGTGGTGGGTGGTGTGTGTGTGAAGGGAATGCGTTATGGTAAAGAAATGGGGATGTGGACTTTCTTTATCCTAGGTGGTAAAAGTTAGTTTCACTTCACCCACAAGCTATCTGTTAATGATATTATGCATTTATTAGCATCTCATGAGCAGTATAATTTATAGACTTGTTTTGGAGGAGATATGTGTTACTAAAGAAGGTTATAAATATCTCTTAGCACGTTATATAGGAACTTCAGTTTTCTTATTAAAATTAGCTTTGCAGCAAACAAGAGACCCATTTAGTAAGATTTCTAGAATGTGAAAATTTTGGAAATGATTATATTATTTAGAAAATATGATCAAAAAAGTACTGAAATTAAATATAAAAAGAAAATTTTTGAGTAATCGTCTGACATGAAGGTTTTTTTTTTTTGAGATGTTCTCTGACAGTTTTTCTAAGTAAATTTATAAGGTAAAGGTTACAAGATTACAAAATTCATTTATTTTACAAGTTTGTTTCTCTAAAAATAGTCACATGAAGTCATTTTTCTTTCTAAACATTGTCCTCAACTCTAGCTTTTCTATAAAACTGCCAGGGAGTGTGCTTGTTCCTTTTGTGCCTCCTTAGGTTGGTATCAGAAAATGATGGAGATTCTGTTCCTCTCCAGTGTGGTGTGTGCAACTAAGAAGGTTAGGGCTCCGTTACAGCTTGTCTGAATCTGTTTTTACTTCACCTTGAGGAAAGACTTCTGTAATGTATTTTAAGCTTTTAATTTTTTTAAACCACATCTTTTCCATAACCTAATAGTGGCATGCACATCAACACTGGCATGAATAGACGTTTTACTATTTTTAATAGTACTTTATTATTTATTTTCAGAGGGATAATTTTGATAAACCAAGCATGCATTCACAGTACCCAAGCTAACAGTGAATCTGTATTGCTTATACAATTTACATTTTCCTGCCCTTGTCAAAATTTCCTGTACTTTCACCATGAGCTTATAAAGGGGCTGATTCAAAGGGTTAATCGCTAATAAAGCTGGGGTGTTATATTTTCCTTTATTTTTTTATCCATGTGTTCAGCATGTATTTAGCATACCCTATCATAGGCACTGTGCTAGGACTTGGGGTTAAAAAGCTAATGAAGATACAGCCGTTGCTCTTAGGGTGTTCATGGTCTGCCTGGATGATCGTGCATATTTAAATGAGACATAATGTGATAAATATCCTGAAAGTAGCATGTATAACGTAATTCTGGTGAGGAGAGTTAGGACATGCTTTTATAGAGAAAGTGATGTTTTAGATGAACCTTGTTGTAAAGGGGTATGTATTGGCTAACTAGAAAATTTAAGAAATTTTCATCGGAAGAAACAACATGGGCTGAGACCCAAGGAATGAAAGAATCTACTGTACTTACTGTGTGTAAGGTACCTCTGTGGGTACCTTGTTGAATATAGAATTATAAATAAGACATAATTCCCCATGGCATAGTCATGATTATTTTGGCTTCCAACCACTGATAAAAATGAAATTTTTTTCTGGGAGCCATTGGTTAAAAATGCATGCTCTAGGGTTCGATTACCTGCCTTGACTCACTAGCTGGACGTTATAATCAACTTCTCTCATCATTTCCTACATGTAATAAATGTTACCCACTCTAATATATTTCTGTTAGATGATTTATGTAACAATTGACTCTTGACTCACTAGTCATTTTGTGCACATTTTAATGACTGTATATTCAATTATGTTGAAACTCTAATTTTCAGACTAGCTAAGTTTAGCCAACTAGTGCTCAGAAATACAAAGCTTAAGGGTGGTAGAACAATTATCTGTTATTAGATTTTTAAAAAAATAAAATAAGGTAACTGATTTGACATGCTTATTTACCAACTAGAGGCCCGGTGCACGAAATTTGTGCATGGGTGGGGATTCCCCTCAGCCCAGCCTGTACCCTGTCCAACCCATGACCCCTCAGGGATGTCTGACTGCCACTGATGTTACATGCATCATTATTTGCAAATGGTTTTACTAAATGCCTGCTAATTTATATAAGACAATAGGTTAACATTGACAGCTTAGTATTTATATTTTCTGTTGGACTTTATTCCCAGAAACTGCCAGTTTAGGCCAGGGATCGGGCCTAAACCGGCAGTCAGACATCCCTCTCACAATCCTGGACCACTGGCTCCTAATCACTTGCCTGCCTCCCCGTTGGCCTGGTTGCCCCTCACAGCCCCCTTGCTGGCCTGGTCGCCCACTGAGCCTGCTGTTCAGTCGTTTGGTCATCCCTCACTAACTCCCCTGCTGGCCTGTCACCCCACACAGCCTGTTTGTTCAGTCATTTGATTGTCCCTCACTAACCCCCTTGCCGGCCTGGTCGTAGGCAGCCATCTTGTGAGGGTATGAGGGTTAATTTGCATATTACCTCTTTATTATATAGGCTTTTCACATTATGGCAGTCAGTATTTTGTAGAATGCAACAAACAATAATTTCAGATCAGTGAACAATAGAGAGGTGGGCAGGCTTCCAGAAACCAGAATTATAAATAGTGGTTCTTTATGGAGGTGTGAGGCGGGTGGGGTATAGACAGCAACACTAACAGCTAATATGCAGTCTGAAGCCATTGATGAAGAGCAGTGGCTCCCAGAACCACTGCTCCCCAACCATCCGCAATCACTAATTGAGCCTTCCTGATATATTTTGAACATTTCAAAAACACCAGTAAAAATTCTGTTTTTATCTACAATAGTCCATACAAGCTAACTGTAATGTTAAGGTTTTCATCAGTTTCTTTTATACTGCTCAGAAGTTCTGGTTGGCAGTTACATGTTTTTAATTAATGTTAAGTTGGAGAATGAGTTCCTTTTTACTTACTGAATTAAATTATACATTGGGTATGTACATTTTGTTGGGGAACAAGGAGTAAAGGGTTGGAAATCAGTGGTGGAGGGCAAGATGGCCCTATCTTTGCTGCTTCAAGGAGCTCACTATGTTAGAGTACAGTGATGAGCTTGTTATTGGGGAGCCTAATTAATCAAAACAAGCTTTAATTACATTGAATATGTTATTTGGAAGTGTGGCACATGTTTAAAATGTTTCATTTAAAATACTTTTAAAAGTTTTGGTTCTTAAAGGAATAATCTAGAAAATTCACATAGTTGTGCAGTCAGTGAATAGTTTGTCAAATGAATCATTGTTGAAACTGACTTGAATTTATATTTTAAATTTTGATTTGGTTATAAATTTTGGTTTAACATGTATTGCTTCTAGTTTCATTTATCTATTTGATTTTTCCTTTTATTAATTTTTAAAAGAAAGCTTTTCATTATGTTTTGTAATAGTTTCTAAAATGAAATAATGTTTTCTTTTTATAGCATTATCTAAAAATGACATATTATATGATGGAGAAAACCATGACTGTGAGGAAAAGCCACAAGACATTGTACAGAGCATTGTAGAAGAAATGGTGAACATTGTTGTTGGAGGTAGTGTATTCCACTAGGAATTAGTGTATTTTGTCTTACAGTATTTCATCTGACTGTGAAAATTATTTTTATAATGTGTGGATTAAAAAGGGCAAAAATATAACATCTTCCTCAAATGTGTGTGTGTGTGTGTGTGTGTGTGTGTGTGTGTGTGTGTGTAGAAAATATATTTAAATATCTTTGATTATAGAAGTCCACTGAAACACGTAATTCATGGTATCTTGCACAGGACTAGCATAATACTTTGCTACATATACTTCTAGAAATAGGATTAAATTATCTGAACCTGTCCTATTTTCTAGAATTTCCTCTTAAGATTTTGGCCCATTTTTCACACCCTTCTTAGTTTTCCTGTGCTATTAAAGATTTTGTCTCTTGTTTCTATTTTTCTTAGTAATTTCAGTGGTATTTGTTAAAGGAGAAAGTAAATTAGTGGGCTTCGTTCACCACCTTTAAAACAGAAGTTTGCACTTATGTATAGGGGACAGTTAAAGGAGAAAACAGTGGAGAATAATATTTAACTCTATTAAGTGATTTTATATGCTTTACTTGCATTTACTCATTTGATCCTTCCAAACACTGGGATGTTTTGATACAGTTACTTTTCCCTTTTTTAAATTTTAATTTTTTTTGAGACTTCATATCTCATATCTTTTTTTTTTTTTTTACCCCATCACCATTTAACTTCCATATACCCTCTTACACCTCTACCTTCCGTCCCCAGGCACTGTCCCCCCCCCTCCCACACACACACACAATCAGTATGTTTCCATCATGCTAGCTTATAGTTTTCTTTTAATGGGTAGCATGAAAGAAGCAGTGTCTTGAGATAGCTACTGAGTTATGGCCATAGACACGTATGTGTTCCTTTTAAAAGAAATACACATCAAGTGGTACTGAAACTTGGTATTATTTGCATTATCTATGTTTGTTTTATCAGAAGTCATTTATGTTTATAGTAATTACAAGTATGATGATTTAGAGTGACAGACTGAAAAATGTTTAGGGGTATAGGCCATTATTTTCATAGTAATGTTCTAAAAAATATGTTTTTAGAGGTATTAATAGATATTCTTAAAGGGGGAGAGGGTTCGTGGTAAAACAAATTTGAAAATACTGCATATTTTATATCTCTTTTGGAGAGCCCAGTGCATAATAGCAAATTAATATTATAATAAAGAAACCTATTTCCCAGTATTTCCCTCTTATTTGATAATGGGATATTTTTTTGAGAAATTTCTAATACTGTGTTAAGGCATTAGCATTCATTAGAACCCAGTTTAAGAAATGCTGATAATGGACTAAAAGTAAGCTTCTTTTTTGACACATTTAAGCCTTTCATCAGCTGTGTTTCATTTCTAGAGCTACTTAAGAATCATAGTTGGATGTATTTTAAATGCTTATTCACTTACTAGTAAGTATGCTAACCTTTAAATGGTGCCAGTCTGTGTTACTTCACATCATTTTTCTGCCACTATTTAATTTTAAATACTCTATGCTTTTATATCCTTAAGTTAAGTCAGGTGTGTTTATATGTGTTTTATTCTTACCATTGTAGATATGGGAGAAAGGACCATAAATGCAAATGCAGATGGCAACATTGGAACTATAGAGGATGGTAGCGACAGTGAAAATATTCAAGCAAATGGAATTCCAGGAACACCAATTTCTGTGGCATATACACCGTCCCTACCTGATGACAGACTCTCTGTCTCTTCCAATGATACTCAGGTATAAATGGGAGTGGGACATTCCTGTTAATCTTACACATTTATAGGTCACAGCACCTGCTGGTAAATATATCTAGGTGATAATGCTGACTGATTTCAGTTTGAAGAAATAAAAACTTGGGTGTTTTTTTCCCACCGATAGAAATCAAAGCAGTTTATTTCCTTAATAAATTGAAAGCTAAATTTTTAATTTTACAGTGTTTGTCACTGGTGTTCACAACTTCCCTAACCCTGCCCCATGGAAATTACTTTTTAAAAGAGGAATTCTTATCACATATTCATAGGATAATTCTAGTATCATAGGAATGGGAAAAACTTTTAGAAATCTAGGAAACTTCATCTTACCTTTGTTCAGGGCTACAATGAAATCCATACCATGGTAGTTGCAATTCCTCTGTTTTTTATACCCTATATTTTGTGTTTTTATTCTTATCCTCAAGGATAAGGGCTATTTTAAATCATTGCTCCATGCATAGGGGGAAGCTTTCTTGGCCTTGTTGAACTTCATTAGCTAACAATTTTTAAACATTGCTAATAAAACAATGTTTAATTTTTAAACATTGATAATCTCCAATGTCTTATTTTTATCTGCACAAAGTGCAAAAACACAAAACACCCAATGACAGGTAGTGGAAATCATAATTTAGGCTGTGTATGAAGTATCTTGTCAGGACATAATGTGCTAGTTTTAGTTAGTAATAACATGAACTGGGAAATTGTTGAGGATGGGGGTGCAGTGTCAGAGAAACAATGTGACAGATTCCTCATATGGTTTCCCTTCCAATAGAACCTCACCTATTACTGAATTTGAACAAAATGTATAAAAGGCTGAAATGACTTTACACTGGCAAATACACTTATTTGCATAATATGTGAACTTGTTTAGGAATCTGGAAATTCTTCAGGACCTTCACCTGGTGCTAAGTTTTCCCACATTTTACAAAAGGATGCCTTTCTAGTATTCAGGTCATTGTGTAAACTGTCGATGAAACCGCTGTCAGATGGACCGCCAGATCCAAAGTAAGTCATTAGCTGTTCTGCCTAACAAATACAATTTTAAAGCTCAAAATGTATTCCAAGATAGTCTTTGGCTTTTCTTTTGTTCCACTTGTCCTGTAGGAGCCTCAAAGTATATTTATATATATTTAAAAACTGAGTGTTCCAAAACTGTTAGATAACTTAGAGAATACCAAAAGCATAGAATTGTATCTGGTACAGTAAATACTGACTGGTTGAGTGAATTCCTATTTCAGTTTGTAAGTAACTTTGGAGCTAATGTAGCTCTGTTACATGTAGCCTCATACTAGGCTCTGAAAACTACCAGTTGATTTATTAAGAGAAATAAATCTTAAAAGTCATAATGTAAAAGAAGACATCTGTAGTACTTTCAACAATAAAGATTTTTTTAAAGTCATACTATATATTCATTAAGGTCTGAAAAATGTGATGATACCTTTCTTCATGGGGAACAGGAGGTACTTTGCAATAGGAGTCTTTGTCTGATTCTCATCAGTCATTTAAACTGTAGGAAACTGCCATTTTTTTAAGTAGTATCTTTCATTTCAGCTGATTCAAGTGTAACTAATTTCTGCTTGAGAGTGAGTTTGGGAGTTATTGGAGAGGCAGAACTTTTCTGGGGAAAGAACCTTGGAGAAGGCCTTGAGTGACTTGGAGAAAGGGATATTGAAATGAGGGAAATATAAGCAACACTACTTCATTGAAAAACCCCACAGCATTTTGGTTTCTTTGCCAACTAAGAAGAAAGACTAAAGACAGTTATTATAAAAAATAAATCTTCTATAGTTTTATTTTGTAACATTGTACTGAGTCAGTGGGAAACATCTTTTAGGCCCAGAAGGCTAAAATTCTAAAATCTTTTTTAGGTCCAGCTCCTGAGAGTCAGAAATATAATTTATTGATTCTTCTGTATTTTGAAAATATGAACTCTATAGAGAAAGAATTAAGGTTGCTTAGATTGCAGTATAAACTCAATTATACCCTATATATTTTATAAGAATACTAGAGGTCCAGTGCACGAAATTCATGCACTGGTGGTGGTGGTGGGGGGTGTCCCTCAGCACGGTCTGTGCCCTCTCACAGTCCAGGAGCCCTCAGGGATGTCCGACTGACAGCTTAGGCCCGCTCCCCGGAGTCGACCTACGCCGTCAGTTGGACATCCTTAGCGCTGCCGCGGAGGTGGGAGAGGCTCCCGCCACTGCTGCAGCACTCACCCATCGTGAGCCGGCTTCTGGCTGAGCAACACTCCCCCTGTGGGAGCACACTGACCACCAGGAGGCAGCTCCTGCATTGAGCATCTGCCCTCTGGTGGTCAGTGCAAGTCATAGTGACCGGTTGTTCCACCTTTCAGTCAATTTGCATATTACCTTTTTGTTGTATAGGATATTTACATTTTTTAAAAATTTTCTTATTCTCATTGAGGAGAGATAACTTTCTTACTCAAAATTGACAATTTTGAGATCTCGTTCTGAATTGATGAAGACTTACTTTAAGGATGATATAACGTAAGAATTTGGTGTTATTGCTGAAGGCCATTTTTACCATGATTTAAAAATGTATTGGCTATAAAAGCTTTAGATGTTTAGTTTTCTCAAATCAAATATAAAAAAATGTTTATTAGAAACAGAAAAGAGGGAATTGTTTAAAATGCTAAGATTTAAAAGAACAATAGAAAATATATGAATTTTGAGGAATACTATGAGGGGGAGAGTATTTAGTTAGCCCTGAAAAAAAAGAGTATCTAGTTTTTGGAGAGCTGCTCTTATGAGGAATATTATAAATTAACTATCCTTCTACTTAGTGGGCTTAAACCAAATATTAGGAAATATTGTTTGTACATTTAAAAAGACCTTTTTGACCATCAGGATCCAATCATTGGAATTGAATACTGAAAGAGATCACATTTTCACTTCCTAGAAACTGTTGTCTTTCCAAAAGAGAATTTATGGTTTCCTAGCTTGAGTGGATTTTTTTTGCCAAAATTAATGAGCTTTTGTATTTATATAATTTTCTTTTTTATCTTTGCTTCTCTCTATACTTTGTGATCCAGGAAGTGTTCTTTTAAGTTGAACTATAATTTGAAACTATCCCGTGAAAAACTGCAGAGCTGAAATTTCCAGACTCTTTTGCATATCAAAAGTATATGCTGCCCAGCCAGTGTGGCTCAGTGGTTGAGCATTGGCCCATGAACCAGGAGGTCACAGTTTGATTCCCAGTCAGGACACATGCTTGGGTTTCAGGCTCAATCCCCAGTAGGGGGCGTGCAGAAGGCACATGATTGATGTTTCCATCTCTCTGTCCCTCTCCCTTCCTTTCTCTAAAATTAATAAAAAAATATATATTTTTAAAAAAATAAAAATCATCATTCTCCCCCTTTGGTTCAGCCTCTGGCTCATTGAAGTCTACATGACCCTTCTAAAACACA